TTCGAAATTTGGACCGAATTAAGCTTAATTTAAACAAAATTTGAAATTACACCCTTCGCGTTATTCCGCGAAAATACGGTAGATTTTTATTTGAGATACAAAGTTATATATCTAAATAAAGTAAAATTAAATAAAAGATATAAAAAATATAATTACAGTATTTTCGCAGAATAGCTTCCATAAGCATTATTTCGAAATTTGGACCGAATTAAGCTTAATTTAAACAAAATTTGAAATTACACCCTTCGCGTTATTCCGCGAAAATACGGTAGATTTTTATTTGAGATACAAAGTTATATATCTAAATAAAGTAAAATTAATGAAAAGTTTATAAAAAATTTTGCACCAAATCTTGTTTGTATTCAATTTGATTTATATATATATACTTGATATAAAATTTGATTGATAGTTACTCGTAGCTCTCCTTATATTTCATGAGTATGTAATTTCTGTATATTATATGACTTTTGTTCGAGTTTTTATTTAATAATTACTTAATCTTTTCAGACTCGATTAAAATGAATCCTAAAAGTTTCATCTCTTTGTTGATGATATTATTGTTTATTTCTGTTGCTTCTCCTGCTTGCAACCAAACCAGCACAACATGCAATTATCAAACAACCTGCAAATGTCCTGCGAGCCTAAGTCAGGGTACATATTGTGGTGGCGACGTTGGTAAGTAGAGAATTTATATCTTTTTTATATATTAAGATTTGCTTCCAATCATCTTCATTAGTTGAATTTTTTTATTTCAGGATGTGATAAAACTCATGTTTATGAATGTAATCCTAACGGTGGTGAATGTACAACTTGTGATTATTGTCTTCGTTTTTCCTGCGCACAATGTGGAAAATTAAGTTGTCCGGCTCCGACACAGCCAAAGCCATCAATACCACCATCGCCAACCAAACCACCAACGAAACCACCATCAACCCCACCGCAAAGCCTCCCTTCATCTATTTGCATTGATATGACAGTGAAAAACTTTCTTGTTGATACCTGTGTATTTCTTGCAACTCCAGTAGTTTCATTCGTTATATTAGGTGCAACACCGACTGATATTATTGCAACTTGTGTTGCAGCAGCAGCACCATTTGCCCTAGAGACTCTTGGTGGTTCTGAGGCCTTGTGTGCTATTGTAGCCTTTCTTGCAACTGAAGCAGTTGCTGCAGGTATTACAGACCCAGCATGCAATAAGATTTGTTAATGATAATCAATATTATAAATTTTCTTTTTATTTATGAGTAGTCATTTATTATTCACAATCATTATTTATATTCAATTACCCGTATTATCTATTTCAATTATTATTGATATCAATTATTGCTATATTCAATTATTATTTATACTCAATTATGGTTATGGATACCCTTATGTCAAGAGAAAATTGGTTCAAAATTTCAGGATCTTGTGTAACAAAAAAGCAGCGAAATTTTACTGTGAACCAACTTCAGGCACCAGGAATATAAAGAATATTTGAGATACTTCGATCTAAATATTTAGAATAGAAGGTCTGATTTTCGTTTGGCATAAGGGTAATTTTAAATTATCTTTTATATCAATAATCAAATTATTATTTATGTTTATATTCAATTATTATTTATACCCAAATTATTATTGATGTTGATATCAATTATTATTTATACCCAAATTATTATTGATGTTGATATTCTATTACAGTCGTCCCTCGTTAATATCAACCTATTGGGCTCGGACAATTTGGTTGATATATGCGGGGGTGGATAACAA